GGGGGATGAAGAGGGGGATGGTGGGGCAAGGGGATGGAGAGGGTACTGGAGAGGAGGGAGGGGGAGGAGGGAGGAGGGAGCCTCTCCTCACCTGCGTACGAAGTGCATCTGGCTCCCGCAAAAGACATCCAGGATGAGGCGCTCGTAGGCGTCAGGGAGCTTCACGTTCTGTGGGCAGGCCACAGGGTGTCACCAAGGTGCTGAGCCCTGCGGAGCCCTGGGCCGCTGCCCCTGCCCAGGGAGCAGGCAGGCGCCCACCTTGTATCGGTTGCCATAGGTCAGGTCAAGCTCCGACTCCTCGGGGTTGAAGAACATGCCGGGCTTCTTGGTCATCATCTTGGTGTACACGGCCTCGTTGGGCTGCACACGGATCACCAGCTCGTTGCGCTTGCACTGCTGCCGGAAGATGTCCCCGGCCACGTCACGGAACTGTAGGCGCACCTCGGCCTTGCGCTCGTTCAGGGCTTTGCCACAGCGCAGGATGAAGGGCACCCCTGTGAGGAGACGGGGGATGGACACAGCCAGCTTTGGGGAGTGCTTGGCTGGCTGCAGGGGCCGGCTCCCATCCCCGTGGGGTGGCAGCACCACCTACCGTCCCAGCGCTCGTTCTCCACGTAGAGGACGGCGGCCGCAAAGGTGGCCGTGGTGGACCCACGGGGTACCGTGGGGTCGTCCAGGTACCCTTTGGTGGCCTCCCCCTCTCCGTTGGGGTTCCCCACATACTGGCCCAGGACCACGTTGCTCGCCTGCACCTCTGAGATACATTTCAACACCTTGACCTACATGAGAGCCGGGAAGACAAACCCCTTGGGTAAAGAGGACACTGGGTGCCAGGGAGCCATGTTAATGCCCAGGAGTGGCCTTCCTGGATGGGCGAGTGGCCCCGATAGTCAGGAGGTGTCCTGTGTGCAGCTTTGCTCCTGCTGCCAAAGCCGAGCTTCAGGCTCTGGCCCACGAGGGCTCTCTGGGACCACCTCACCCCACCCTTGCTTCTTCTCCAGGAGAAGCTTGGTCACATGGCCCTGCCAGTTCTCTGACAGGCTGCCCACCTCCTGGCCCAGGGCACCTGGTGCTCAGGATGGGTGGCTAGGGAAAGGGGGCTGGGCAGGGAGGGGGCAGCCCCACCCACCTTCTCATCACGCACGTCATCCGAGTCGGTGGAGGCAGGCTTCTCCATGGCCACCAGACACAGCATCTGCAGGAGGTGGTTCTGCATCACGTCCCTGGGGGCAGGAAGGAGTGAGGTGTGAGCTCCCTTAGCCCCTCCCTGTCGGCCACCTTCCGGGCACTCAGGGCCTCAAACTTGGCCTTCCAGCAACAAGCAGTGAGCTTTCTTCCTGATCACCAATGTCTGCCAGGTCCCCTTAAGTAAAGGTAGAAGACAGTGACCCCACCCTTTACAGTCCCCACTGACTGCTCGGACACTCATGCTGCCCAACTTGAACCTTGGGGGGCCAGGAACCCAGAGTGGGGTGGGGGGACCTGCAGGGGAGTGGGATGGTGCCTGTGCCCACCTCCCCGGATAAGGGAGCCGGGCTCTCACCGGATGATCCCAAATTCATCAAAGTAGCCCCCACGACCCTCAGTGCCAAAGGGCTCTTTGAAGGTGAGGATGACGCAGGCGATGTTGTCCCGATTCCAAATGGGCCCGAAGATCCTGTTGGCAAACCTGGGGTAGGGGCACATGGAGGCTGACTGTGCATCGGAGGGGGGCGGCCCAGGACCCCTGGCCCCCAGCCCCAGCCCCAGCGCACCTCAGCACCATGAGGTTCTGGACCATCTCTTTGCCCAGGTAGTGGTCGATGCGGTAGATTTGGTCCTCACGGAACAGGGAAGAGATGTGGTTGGACAGTCGGTCGGAGCTCTGCAGGTCCCTCCCAAAGGGCTTCTCCACGATGATGCGGTTCCAACCTCTGTGAGAGCCCAAATGTGCATCACCCTCCCGGGGGGGGGGGCAGGGCTCAGCATCCAATCCCCGTCCACCCTCCGTTCCATAGGGAGTGAAGGCAGAGACTCCCCGCCTCCTCTCAGCAATCAGCTGGGCCAGCCAAATTCTGCAGAGATGGGTCTCCTCCAGGCTCTGCCCAGAGGACACCCCTTCTAATTCCCAGTCCTCGGGGCTCGGCTCAAAGCTTTCTTGGAAGCCTTCTAGCCTGACCGGCAGGCGAGTAGGAGGAGCACTTCCTGCCCTCTCTGCTCCCTCCTGGCAATGCAGGGGTCCTGTGGGGTCTGGGGGTGCCCTGAGCTAGTGGGGAAATAGGGGGAGGGGATACCAAAGGCAAAGCTCCCCCTGAGAGTTTGAACGTGGGAAAGTAAGTAAGTGTTAGTTGCTCAGTCGTGCCCAACTCTTTGCGACCCCACGGACTGCAGCCCATCAGGCTCCTCTGTCCATGAGATTTTCCAGAGAAGGATACTAGAATGGGTCGCCATGTCCTTCTCCAGGGGAATCTTCCCCACCCAGGGATCGAACCTGGGTCTCCTGCATTGCAGGCAGATGCTTTACCGACTGAGCTACAAGGGAAGCCCCCTTTATCCTAACGGAGAATTAATGCGGCCATTCCACATCCAAACCTGGGACAAAGTGAAACAGACACAGCCCTGGCTTGAGGGACACAAGCAAGCACGCAGGTGCTACTGAGTCAGAGGCAGCAGGGTTCCCATGGAGGAACACCGCCCCCTGGTGGTGGTTGAGGGGACCGTGGGAAATGCCGAGAGCCTGAGAATAAGCCGGCAGCAGTGAAAAAGTATCGTGGAGCAACACTACCACCTTGTGGTGTTAGTCGGGACTGCTGCCAGGGACAGTGGGATTTCTGGGGAGCTGACCCTGAGGGTCTATATAGGGATCTGGATGGTAAATACGGGTGCGAGCATTTTCGGGGAACTTCCAGAAAACGGAAAATGCCCGTTCTCCGCAGACTGAATTCATGGAAGTAAACCAGGGACATCTATCTATTTCAGACTCCCTAGGCCTATTGGCCCCGGGGGTCTTTGCTTAGCTTGCTGGGGCAGGTCGCACCAGGGTAGGGCACACCCTGGAGGCAGGAAGGGAGGGAGAAAGACCAGCCTTACGTATGGCTCATGCAGGTCTCGTGGATGTTTTTGGTGACAGCCTCGTAGACAGTTGGGGGCAAGGCCAGGTAGAAGAGGCGGTTGGTCTGTGTGCCCTGGTGAAGGGCATTTATGTGGCTGTTGAGGCGCTCGTAGGAGGCAGCGTCATCATACTGGCCAGCCACGTAGGAGTTGCGGGCAAAGAACTCCTCCAGCTTGGACTTCTCCTCCGGGGTAGCCTGGGCAACATGGACACAAGGATCTTGGCCCCCTGCCCTTGCTCTCCTGTGAGCCCACAGGCAGAGTGGGCTCCCTGAGAGGTCAGCCATCCTAGCCTCGCACTGGGGTCACTCACAGCTCCAGCTCTGCATGCCCATGGGGGTGGTGGGTGGGGGCCTCAATGCCCTAAGACAGAAGCCAGAGTCCAGCAAATTGGGACCTGGGAGAAAGCCCTCTCTCCAAAGTCATGCCACCCAAGTACTGTGTGTTGAGAGAAGGTAGGCATCTCCATGTTTGAGAGGTCACAGGGTACAGCGGGAAGGAAGTGGTGAGCCCAGGTCATAGGGGGCTGGGAGGTGCCAGAGAGGGGGTGGCCTGGCACAGGAGGGGTGGGACGAAGGGCCTCTGTGATGGGAAGGGGAGGGGGGTGTGCCATCTGCCGAGACTCCAGAAGCCACTCACTTTGAAGAAGGGCTCGCTCTGCTTGCGGATGTCAGCCACTGTGAGGCGGGAGCGGGCGTAGCCCACGATGTAGGTATCTTCGGGCAAAAGGCCATCCCGGAACAGCCACCTGAGGGCAGAGCATGGCTGTGGCAAGGGCGAGGGGGCACGGGGCCACAGGGGGCAGTGGGGACATAGGCTTACCAGATGGTGGGGTAGATCTTCTTCTTGGCCAGGTCCCCCTGAGGCAGAGAAACAGGTGTGGTTAGGAGCTGAGGACACACCCCAGATCGCCCCCATGAGGGGAGACCTGTGCACGCTTGTCCTGCCCCCTGTGTGCAGCCTGAGCTGCTTGAACTGGGGCCCAGTCTAGCCCTTGACCCTGGCCTGGAGTACCTGCACATTGCTGGGGGGCACCTTAAGGGAAAGAGACCTCGCACTGGCCAGGAGATACCCCATTAACCTGCTGATCCCATGATCCAGAGACTCGTCTTGTGGTTGAATGGGCAAAACCAAAACCAACACAAGAAGCCCGCTTCTAAAGAGCTCATGGGCTAAAGAAAATACTACACTCACTGGAACTGAATGGCACTGGAAGTAGTACGTGACAAAACTGAGGTATGACTTTAAATGCTTACGTTAGCAAAAAAAAAAAAAAAAAAAAGAATGGCTCGAAGCTGATGAACTTAGCATTCAACTGAAAAAGTTTGAAAAAGGACCATCCATCGTCGCTTGGTCATGTCCGACTCTTCGCGACCCCACGGACTGCAGCCTGTCAGGCTCTGCTGTCCATGGAATGCGCCAGGCAAGAATACTGGAGTGGGTAGCCGTTACCTCCTCCAGGAGATCTTCCTGGCTCAGGGATTGAACCCGAGTCTCCTGCATTGCAGGCAGATTCTTTACTACTGAGCCACCAGGGAAGCCCTAGAAAATAGACAGCAAAATTTAAAAGCCAAACAAATTACAAGGCAGGAAACACTGCAAAGTAAAAATGAATAAAATGGAAAACAAGCCAAAAGAACAGCTCAACAAAGCCCCATCTTGGTATTTGAAAAAGACTAATTAAATTAATTCAAACAGACCCCTGGGCAAGATTGCTTTTTAAAAAGTTACCAAGAATCATGGGGGCAGTGGGACAAAACTACTGACAGGAAAGACCGCAGAGGGTTTTGTGAAAACCCACATCTCACAAGTTATATGAAATGGACACTTTTCTGGAAAATTCCAATATACCACAATGGAGCGAGTGACTTGGGGAGGTAATGGTCATTAAGGAGACAGGATGATGTTCACACCCTTCCCAGCAAGTCCAGCCCGGCCCCTGACAACCACCCCTGACAGAGACAGCTCTGCCAACAGGTCTCACAAAATGCCACAGAGACCACCAGTTGGAGGCAAAGCCTGACTGGGGAGCCAATCCGTGTGGTGGCCCCGGGACCCTGCGGCCAGAGTCTGAGAAATGCGCACAGGTGGTCCCTAGCCTGTCTCATCAAGAACACAAATACAGGTGCAAACAGTTCTGCAGGAGATACCAGCAAACCCAACCCTGCAATGTCAAACATGGAGAATGTCCGAACTAAGTTGGGATCATCCTGCAAGTGAAAGCTTGGTTTGATACTGAAAAGCCAAAAAAAAAAAAAAAACAACATTAACATTCACTACATGAACAGATTAGAGGAAAAAAAGCTCTAAGCCATATGTCTACTCCTTTAGAGTTTTTAATCTAGGAACCTTGTTAAAACTCACCAGACGGAGATTAAATGTTCCAGAAATTTAAACACCTAGCATGATAGGACCTTTTCCCAGACTAGGCATAAAAGGGAACTTTCTCACCTTGCTAAGCAGCCCCTGTTAAAAACTCCACAAACATCATATACTGTAGGGAAAGGTTGAAATAATCCTATTTCAACAACCAGGAGCAAGAAAAGAGGGCCTGTCTTTGGCTCTTTACTCAACGCCCCACCAGAAGCCCCGCCAGCGGCAGGCAGAGAACAAGACACATGACAAGGTGGGAAGGAAGTGTCACGCAGGCCTGGTCTCTAGCTGACCACCTGTCCATTTAAAGAAAGAAAACCACTTGAAACTAAGCTTTATGCAAATTATTACAATTAATGAGATTTTAGGTTTGAAAAAGTTAGTAGATGGCAGTAGAAACAGATTTCTTAGATAGGACACAGAGTGCAGTAACTGGAAAAATGAATGAATGAAGGCTTGAGCAAAATTAGAAACTCCTGGTCATCATAATACACTATTAAGAAGATGAATTGGGAAAAAAAACACAAGATGAATAGACAAGCCACAGACTGGGAGAAAACATTCACCACATGTAGTATCTAGAATATATAACCCACTCCCCTCAATATCATGAAATGTGTTAAATGCCACCGGTTAGTACACTTGAACATGGTTAAAAAGGTCAATTAAAAAGAAAAAAACCCACTCTACAACAAAACAGAAAAAGAATTCAAGATCGGTAAAGGCTTGACCACATACTTCACAACAAGATGAATCGATGGTTACTAAACACACAAGAAAATGTTCAAGATGACCAGCTGTCACAAAAATACAAATTAAACCACAGTGAGATCCAGCTTGACCCTCACCAGGAAGGTTGTAATCTGAAAAAAACTAACCCCATCTGGTGTTGGAGGTGGTGTGGAGCAAACACTTGCACCAAGGTTCACAGCAGCCATAATTCCCAATAGCCCTGAGCTGGGACACAGTGAAAGGCCATCAACAGGGAATGGACAAGCTGGATATCCACATAGTGGGATACCAACTCAGCAATACCAAGGGATGAGCCAGGGGGATACCCTGGTGGTCCAGTGGTTAGGACTCCACCACACGGGGTTGCGGGTTCGATCCCTGGTCGGGGAACTAAGATCCTGCAAGCTGCGCAGGAGACAAGAACAAAGATTACAAACCAAGAAAAAAGGGATGAGCCAGTGACCTACACAGCACAAGTGATTCTCAGAACCAGAATGCTGGACACACAAGACTCAACACCCTGAGTCCATTTAAGGGAAGCTTTAGAAAAGGCAAAACAGAGCCACAGTGACAGAAGTGAGTCCAGAGCAGGAAGTGGACTGGCTGGAGAGATGGAAACATTTTCTCTGGTTATAAAGGTCGGAACTGATTGGAGAGAAAAGATGTCTTTTGATGTATGTGAATGTTGCCTACAAATAAAAAGACTGAAAAGAAGAACTGAGCAGATGGCGGCCCTGGCCGCGTATCACACTTGCTGTTGACTGTGTGAAACTTTCCAAGATAACGGCAAGTGTGTGAAGACACAGCAACTGTGAGCAACAATGTGGTCATCCCACGAAGTCACCCAGTCCCTCTCTCCAGGCTGGTTTAGCTGCCATAGCTGCGGCCACCTGTTTGCTTTTGGTGACCTGACAAAAGAATTCTCCACTCTGGGTGGAAGAGGTGGCGAGCCTGAGCATGGCCTGGGTGCAGAGCAGACACCCTTTCATGCCCCCTGCCCTGTCATCAGTGAGGGCTGCTGGGAAGAGCTGCTAAATTCACCCCGGGCAGGAAAACCACCTCCAGGGGTGAGGACCTGAGGCTTCAGGGCAAAATGACCCTTTAGGAGTCACGTCAGCACTGGACGCGGTAACATCTGTGGACTGTTGCAGAGAGGAGCTCCAGGACCAGAACCGATTGCAACCTGTACCCCTAGATGGGCCGTGAGGAAAGTACTCGGGGAGCTACCAGGTGGGCCAGTCCCCCTCCGGCTGGGGGCGAGGACAGGCCACTTTTGAGGTTTGCACGCTCAGTCCCCGTTTGTGGCTTCACCCTCTTGTCTCCTGGGCCAAGCTGGCACCTGCATGTGGATGAGTCCACATGTTTGCTCCAGTCCAGGTCTTGGCTAGTGCCCAGCCCACATGGGCCAGTATCTCTCCACCACCTCTGGACTCCAGCAGAACCTGGAGTGCTCCAGTGGGTGGTTCCCAAACCAGGGTGCCCTGTGTCGCAGCCCCTGCCCCCTGTCTGCCAGCCGCTCAAAACTGATTGCCAAGGGCTCTGGAGCAGGGCCCCCTCCTGCCGGCCACCTTCCCTGGGAAGCCTGGAGACAGCAGCACCTCAAGGTTGGTCTCTGACCCCCGGCTAGGGTCTCCCTGGAGCCCAGCTGCAACCCTATGGCCCCTCTCCTCCCAGTGCCCACTTTCTGCCGACCCCTCCTGTTGTGGGGCTCCAGCAGGAGAAGCCATCAGTCCCCCATCAGTGGTCACCTCCCGGCCTTCCTGGCCCAGAGGAATGTTTGCTTCCGATCAAATTCCAGTGGGCCAGTGTCCCGTCTGCTGAGTCATGGCGCCCCACACCAGACTGCCCTCACTGGTCCCTTCGGGATTAGCAAGGGGTGGAACCTGCTTGCCTTGTTCAGCTCAGCCCTGCCACCAGCAGCCTGGGGCTCTGAGTCACTCACCCGAGGGAGAAGTGAGGTAGGAACTGGACTGGGGGGGGCGCAGAGGCCTAGGGGGCACCCCCTACCCAGGAGCCTGGGCCTGATTGCTCTGCCAGAAGTAACGTGGGCCGAGAGCACAGCACTCGTGGGGTCTGGAGGAGTCTGGGGCCATGTGGTGACTTAGCAGGAGCAGGGCCTGCTGCAGATTTCCAGCCACCTGCATCTGGCCTGCCAGCACCCCGATCTTATCTCATGTCTCCAGTTTGATAAGCCCTCGGTCTCACAGGGTGTTAGGGCGGAGCACACAGCAGTAGAACTGGGGAGGCTGGGCAGGGGTGGGCTCTATCACCCTTGGGTCAAGGATCTGCTCAGCCTCCCTTCTGGGCCGCGGGGCTCATGACTCATCAGCCCTTTGGGGGAGTGCCAGAATCATCATGACACAGCAGGAATCTTATTGCCCCCAGAGGAGAGGTAGCCCAGAAGCACCCCCAGAGAGAGAGGGCCCGGGTCCTCCAGCTCAACCCTGGCGGGACCCCATCTCCAGGATGGGCCCTGGAGCACTCATTGAGCCCATGGCCCAGATGGGGAAACTGAGGCCCAGAGGCAAAGGCCACCCTGCGGACCATGCAGTGAGCCACTTCTGCCTGAGGGGGGCTCCTCGGCCTGTTCTTTCTCTCATCCCAATCGCTCTCTCTGTTTCTGCTGGGGGTTAGAGTGGCTCCAGCCCGGCAGGCCCAGGGTTCCTCTCTCAACACCAGTCTAGAAGGAGAAATGGGTTCTCGGGTTCCAGAAGACTCCAGACCAGGTCCAGTAAGTTTCTCCACTGCCCTCCTACTGAGGGTGGGAGTCCAGAGGAGGGAGCAGGGAGTGGCTGCAGCTGCAAGGCCATCGGGTCTGGCCTGCCTTCAGATGGGGAGGAACCTCGGCGCGTGCTGGATGCGGGTTGGGCAAAGCCGGCAGGGAGGAGAGGGGTGGAGAACAACTCATCCTTTTTGGAGTCGCAGGCTCTGCTCCGAGGCCCTGGCTCTGCACGCCTTGGCACCTCCTAAGGCCAGGGGCTTGAAGGCCTGGCAGTGTTTGCTGTCACACGCACTCACCTTGGGGCCCAGCCCCCAGGCACGGCTCCCACGTTGGGGGGCAGGAGGGGGGAACCTCAGGGCAGGTGCCTGCTGTGCTGCGGAGAACTCCTTGGTCTCCCAGAGTAGCAGGTTTGTTCCGCCAGCCTGCCCCCCACACATCCCAGCAGGGAGGGGAGAAACAAAACAACAACAAAAAAGGTTCTTCTTGGTAAGCCCTGGTCCTCCCCCGGCCCGCCCTGCCTGGCTGCAGCCGGCACTTCCCCTTTCAGCTCTAGAAGCCTCTGCTGATTGCTCTTGGAGCAGAGAAGAGCAAAGGGGAACTGCTCGGATTGCAAAGAAACAGTGTTGCCCAACGTCAAGGCTGCCACATATGAAGGCAGGGAGGAGTCACTGAATCAGCTCAGCAGAGCCCCGGGGGCCCTTGGTGCTCCAAAGACTTCTATTGCCAAGTGGAGACCGTGGGGTTGAGAGAGGAGACACTTGGCCCAGGCCACAGAACACACTTGGATGCTCTCAGTGAGGTGTTTAATCGGAGTTGAAGGTCTGGGGTCATAGGCCATTTACTGAGGCTGGGGACCCTCTGCTGGAGTGTCTTGGGACAGGCTGGGATGGGGCTGGGGGAAGGAGGAAAAATAATCCCAAGTAACTTTCTTTGTCAACCTATTTCTTGGACCAAGTCCCAGGTGTTAAGGTTTCTGGCTCCTCTAGGGGACGAGGCTAGGGCCAGGGTGGGGGCTAAGCCGCCCCCTGTGCGCCCCTCCTGGGCACCCTACATTCTTGGGGTTATAAGATAGTCAGGGGAGAGTTTCAGGCAGCCTTCCCTTCCACCGGCACAGCCCTCCTCACACACAAAGCCCCCTGCTCTGCATTCTGGCTCTTTTTCCAAGTTCTGACCAAAATCACACAACTGGCAGGAAGCATGTTCTGCAAAGGGTGTTGGCCTGTTACGATACATAAATGAAGAACCGAATTCCTCCAGAGCTGAGGGGACAGGGGTATGGAAGGGACAGAGAGACCATGCCTGACCTGTGAAGAGCTCACTAGCTTGGTGGAGCTCTTGCTTCAGGTTTATACAGTAAGTCACCAGCAGAGATGCTCTGGGAGCAGAGTAATCCCAGGGAGCAGATTCTCAGTCCTGTCTAGGGTGAAAAGTTTCCCTTTGAGATGAAATGTTGACAGCGTTCCAGCCCTTTCTCATGTCTTGCCACTGAGTTGATCTTATTTCCACGTGGCACACAGAGGGAGTGCTTTTAGTCGGGGAGGGGGGCCAGTCATGGCTCTCCGAGGACCCACCCACCCTCTTCATGTTCCGTCACCCCCAACATGTATGGTCAGCACGCTCTGTTTCTGCCTTTGCTTCTAGTCTCTGGTCTTTCTGATCACAGCAAAGTGGCAGTTCCACTAGCTGGACAATGGGGCTGGTCTCAGCTCCTGGGGAGGCCTTGGAAGTCAGGGCAAAGAGATGGGGTTTCAAGAAGGGTCAAGTGTGTGTCCTAGGGGAGCTTGAGGGTAGACAGACAAGGTAGAGATTGGGCCCTGGATCCTACCTCTGGCACTGACTGTGTGACATCTGTCAAGTCAGAAACATGTTTGGAAAACACCCTTCTGGAATGGACTGCTTCCCCTGCTTACCTCTGTGTCTTCCCTGTGGAGGAGGAAGTCCAACCAGACAGTCGCGAAGGGCCTCCCAGCTCCAGGACAGAGGTCTACACTCAATGGCTATACATGCACTTCAGAAATGCCTCATGGTGTGTGTACACTGGGTGGTAATGAGTTGACAGCGGCCCCTGAGCAGGAGCAAGAGCCCGAGGGGCCCAATGGCAAGCAGTTGGGAAAGCACAGGCACCGTGAGGTCCCTTCTGCTGCTTTTAAGCTGTGGGGCTTGGTAGGGGAGACTCACCGATGCACCCATGATGATAAAGATGTGCGTATCGGCCTGATGGAAGTCATCACCCTGGTACAGCTCTTCTCGCAGGATCCCGCACACCTGGGTCCGGCTCAGAGCCACCTGCTCTGCCATAGTGCTCTCTAGTGAAGGAAAAACTCAGTTGACAAGGCAGGAGCTGTGAAGAGCACTGAGAAGCTGGTCCCTTTCTGGAGGGGTCCTTTGGGCTCTCCTCCAGCAGATGTTTCATTACTGAAACCACCGACTGTGAATACCCGTAGGGAGCAGGATGTTCAGGAGATTAGATCTCTGGGCAACCTTCTTCCATGGTGTATATTACAAAATGACCCAAAGCATTACTGGATTCTTACTAGGGCCTCAGCTCTGGGGCGACTGAGTAAAACGCCGGTGGAGCAGCATACGATCTGCCTAAAACCATGTTGCCCAGGATGCAGGCAGAAACTCCACAATGAGCTGGAGCGTGCGAGGTAGTGCAGCTGATGGGAGTGTTGCTCCAGCCCTCCTCCTGCCACGCTGGGCAGACCCCCAGCAAGTCCCTGGCCCTCTCGGGGTCTCTGTCTCCTAGGGGGTCCCATGAGGGCAACGCAGGGTACCAGGAGTTCGGTAAGACCCTCTGGATTTTGCCCCGTTCCCAAGTCTGGGCAATCAAAGTGCCTCGCAGCACCGCGACCGCCCACTCGGTTACCTGTGCTTCGCCGCTCTCGCCCGTCACGCTCGCAGACCCCGAGTCCCCGGCCGTTTCCCCGGGCTGTGCCCCGCCAGCCCATTTAACCGGCGGGGGCGGGAACCCGGGCTGAGCTGACCGGCCTCAGGCGAGATATGGGGGTGTGGCCTCCGCAGGCCCCTCCCTCGTGGGGCGGGGAGGGGCGAGGGCGCGGGCAGGTGCGCGCGCATCCCGGCCAGGCCCGGGGCCCTCCCCCCGCCTCGGGCCCTCCCCCAGCTCCGCGTGGAGGCCCCAGCCCTGGCCCGCCCTGCCCCTCGAGCACCTGTGCCGGCCGCTGAGCCGCGGGCCGCCTGCTGTCTCAGCTGCGGCTGCGCCGTGTCCCCGCTACCTCGCGAGTCCGCCTGCAGCTCCCCGCAGCTCGCCCGCGTCCCCATCCCTGGCCCGACCCCGCCCCTAGAGTCCGGCTTTCGGCGCGGGGCCCCGGGGAGGTCCTGCGCAGGTCTCCACTTCCGCCAGCTGCTTGACCCCGCCCCTCGACCCTTTGGTGGGTGGGGTCTTCTGCAGCTCCGTCCCCTCGCCGGACCGGTCGCCGGAGCAGGTCAAACCGGCCCTCTTAGATAATAGCCTCGTCGTGGTTCCAAACCTAGCGGGAGGGGGGGACGGCCAAACGTCTGGTGGCTGGGTGCCGCCCCTGCTGGAGAGACAAGGAGGAATGCAGGTCGCGACGCTGATTACTGGGGAATGTCCCACAGGCCAACCAACGCTGTCAGCTTCAGGTTTCCGTCTTGGGCAGCCTTCTTTGTACCTTCCGTTGGCCGGCCAGGCAGGGGCGGGACCTGAGCCTTTTACTTCCGGATCCCACAGCTTAGACACCGGAAGCCGGAAGTGAGAAGTTGGCAGCGGGAGAAGGGAAGGGCTACAGCGGAACCCGGATTTTCTCGGAGCGCCGGGGGTCCGAGGAACGCTTGGGGACCGCTGTTGCCGCCCTTCTCACGTCGGACCGACTCAGCTGACAGGTGTGGCCCTCTTCCGAAGACAGGGTATCATCGGTGGGCGTTCTGCCGCCTCCGATACCCCCTCCCCCCGGATGACCAGGCTTCTCCCTCCTGTTCGGTCCGGCCGGGTTCTGCTGCGCACTTCCAGAACACCGGTGGAGGCAGGCCGATTGAGGACTCAGGTTACTTTGGCGGCGAGCGGGTTTGTTTCCGCCTCTCCTTCCTCCGCCAGCGCGTCTTGTCCACACCCCTAGTTTGTGAATGACTCTTATAGGTCGGAGACATTTTCTGTTCATCGTCTGTGCATTTCAGGTTAAAGTTCTTTAAAAAGGCGTCAAATATGACTTGCCGACTAAGTATTTTACCTCATGTGCATCATTTTGCTCCTTTGCAAAACGATGAATGTCTCCTGGATCTCGTATCATTTCTGTGACTTGAGGATGAATGAGCCATCCTGACATGTTCGAGGAACTCAGTAACGAGGCCGCTATACCTGGAGTAGAGTGAGCGAGGAGAATACTTAGAGTGGAAGCCGGTTTGATTCCTGGGTCAGGAAGGTCCTCTGGAGAAGGGATAGGCTACCCACTCCAGTATTCTTGGGCTTCCCTGGTGGCTCAGTTGGTAAAGAATCCGCCTGCGATGTGAGAGACCTGGGTTCGATCCCTGGGTTGGGAAGATCCCCTGGAGAAGGGAAAGGCTACCCACTCCAGTATTCTGGCCTGGAGAATTTCATGGACTGTACAGTCCATGGGGTCGCAAAGAGTCGGACACAACTGAGCGACTTTCACTTTAATGGGAGAACAGATAGTGCACGGCCTTGTAGGTAGTGGTGGGAATTTGGGTTTTAAGCTATTGGCAATGAAGATCTATGATAGGGATCCCAGCAGCGGAGGGATGTGATCAGAATCACCTTTTAGGATGACTGGTCTGGCGCAGTGGGGAGAACTGACTATGGGGGTGGCACGTGTAGGAGCTGGGTGACTTTTAGGAGGTTATTACAGTAATCACGTGAACGGTGATATTACTTTTATCATTTTATTGTGTAAAATTTCAAAGGCGTAGAAAAGTAGAATGGTCTAGTAAATTCAATGTACTCACTTCCCAGCTTCAACAGTTACCAACTCGTGGCTATTTTTAATTCATACTCCTCAAAAACAGCTTTGTTGAAATATAATTCACATACCTTGCAAATCATCCGTTTAAAGTATACAGTTCACTGGTTTTTCAGTGCATTCACAGACTTACACAACTATCACCATTAATTCCAGAACATTTTCATCACTCCAAAAAGAAACCCCATAAACTTCAGCCATCACTCTCACCACCCCATCTACCCCTGCTCTAAGCATCCACTAGTCTTTCTGTTTGTATGTATTTACCTATTCTGGACATTTCATGTAAGTGGAATCATAATATCTGGTCTTTTATGAGTTGTTTCTTTTTTATTAGCATAATGTTGCAGCGTGGGAGTGAACTAGATTTTGTCTGTTCATCAGTTGATAAACATCTGGGTCATTTTCACTCTGGCTGTTAGGAGTAATGCTGCTACAAACATTTCTGTGTGGACATGAGTTTTCATTTCTTTCAGGTAGATACGTAGGAGTTCACCCATTATTTAGAACCAAACCCAGACACCGTGTGATTTCTTTCATAAAAATTTTCATGTGCACCTCTAAGAAATGACTTTGAAAGAAACATAACCACCCCAGCACTATCACATGTAAAATACTACCATTACCTGCTAAGTGTCATCAAATAGACTCTAAGATACATCTTCACAGGATTTCCTGATGGATCCGACATGAACTGTGAGAGATAGATGGGACTCAAGAAGGACTTGAAGGTTTTGTTCTGCCGACTAGAGCATGGGTTAGCCATCTACTGGTAACAAGGAAGGCCATGAATGGAACTGGCCTCTAGGGATGATCAAGAGTGTAGTTTTACTGAGGTTAGTTTTGAAAGGATGACTAGATATCCAAGTGGAGATCTGGAATTTGATGTGTGAGTTGGGAGTTCAGGAAAGAGTTCTGATTTGGGGCATCATCAGCATTAAGATGAGGGCTACAGTTTTGAGTCTGGATGGAATTAGTATTGGAGTGACTGAAGTTAGAGAAAAGGTCCCAGGACAGAGCCCTGGGGCACAACCAACTGAAGGAAGGGCTGGGTTGATGAGGATGGGCCAGTGAAAGAGCCTGAGAGGGAGCAGCCAGTGAGGTAGGCGGGAAACCAAGAGAGTGGGCTGTTCTGGAATCAGGGATCAGTGATCCATCAGATACTGCCAATGGGTTAGTAGGGTGTTCAGTGAAGCATCAGTGTAATAGTGAAATGTCCAAGCTCATTTGGTGTTCTAGTCTCTGGCTGGGATTAGCTTCCTCTTCATGTAGCCAGTCTTCTTGGGCAGGACTTAAAAGGGCTCCAGGTTGATGCTGTCTGGTGTAGACTCCCTCTCTGTACTCCAGGTCACAAGAGAACACAAATGGCTCAGCCTTTCTCTGCCTCCCTGCCTTCATCTGTGAGTCCAGGCCCTGCTTTCAGATGTCTCAGTACACATCAAATGCGGGATAATCCACTTCAGCCCCTCTGTTCCAAAGAGCACTCACCAGGCTCCGAGTGATCTCTGTGAAGACCCTCTTACTTGTCTATGGATTTCCTAGGGTTGCTGTAAGAGATGGCCACAAGCGGGGGCAGGGGCTTAAAACAACAGAAGTTTATCCTTTTCTGGCTCTGGAGACCAAGAGCCTGAGGTCAAGGTGTTGATAAGGCCATGCTTCCTTCGGAGGCTCCAGGGCAGGGTCCTTTGGGCTTTTTCCAGCCTCCGGGGGCTCCAGGTGTCCCTGGGCTTGTGGCCACATCCCTCCTGTCTCTGCCTCTATTTTCACATGGCGTCTCCTCTGTCTGTGTCTCTCCTCTTCTGTGTCTCATAAGGACACATGTTGGATATAGGGCCTTTCTCATCCAGGATTATCTTATCTCCAGATCCTTAATTTTATTGCATCTGCAAAGACTCTTTTCCGCAGTTCACAGTCACAGGTTCTGGGTGTCAGGACGTGGACATATTTTATTGGGGGTCATCATTCAACTCACTATACTAGGTGAGGGGCCACTCACCTCCACTCATGCTTGGAAGTGTGTGTGTGGGGGAGTAGGATTTCCAGCACACCGACATATCCCTCCAAAACCAGTTTTCTCTGTGATTTCTCCTCTCTGGTGATGTTCTTAACTTCAACTTACAGTTTACAAGCAGTGCTGAACCATGACCTTTCCAAGCCCCACAGAAGAATCTGCACCTCCCTTTGGAATGGGATTATGTGCTACCTCTTAGACCAGAAAGCCCATGTTAGCATCTTTTTCCACTTGCCAGCATGCTCATATTCTGCTTGAAGTGTGACGCCAGGACTCCTCATCCTGCAGGGTAGGAGAATTCTGCATAGGTCTCTTTATATCCTCCCCCTGCTAACTCTCTTTCAGGCCCTGACGTGTTGGATGAGCAGGCCCCCCTGGAAGAGTCCACTGTGTGAGATGGTGCAGCCGAGTGGTGGCCCAGCAGGGGACCAGGACATGCTGGGTGAAGAGTCTTCTCTGGGGAAGCCAGCCATGCTCCACGTGCCTTCAGAGCAGGGCACCCCTGAGACCTTCCAGCGCTGTCTGGAGGAGAATCAAGAGCTCCGAGGTGAGGGCGACAGCAGGTGGGCAGAGTCAAATGTCTGGGGAGCAGGTCCTGCTGGAGGATTGACCCCACTCACCCAGTGCCTCTGCATTTTCTGGGACTGGGTTGGGCAGGCGCCTGAGAGCCAGTTCGTGGCTCTGGCTCAGCCAGCCTCCTCCTTCGTTTCCCTTGGGGTTCTCTGGAAGTGACTGTTAGCTACAGAGTGCCATCCAGAATGTTTAGAGTCAGGACCAACACTGAGGAGGGGAGGGGATGGGATGGGAAGGGCAGGGCAGTGAAGAAGCAGGGACGGGCAGAGGGAGAAGCTGGGCTGCCCACCCTCCAAGGAGCTCTGGAGCTGAGGTGACCTTTCTGGGTTGTCCCTGTCGGGCCAAGACCGTCAGGCCCCTGTGCCTCCGTACTGATCAGCCATTGTTGTCATTCAGTCATTCAGTCGTGTGTCTGACTCTCTGCGACCCCTTGGACAGAAGCATCAAACAGTATCCTGGAAAGGGGCGTGGCTATCTGGAAGGGGCGTGGTCTGCTCTGGGCTAGGCTGGGGCTTCCTAGGAAGGGCCCTTGGGCGCTTTGGGGAAGGGACTTCCAGATCACTGTGGGTGGAGCATGAGCCTCTCAATCGCCACCCCCTGCCCCCAGTTAAGACAACCAACAATATCCCTCAGATGTCGTTAAATATGTTTCTGTGTTGGGGCCACATTGAGCTGGCAGCCAGGTTTGGGGCAGGGAGACAGCTCGCTCTCCACAGCTACATGTGTGGTCTGAGCTCATCCCCAGGACAGTGGGGGCCGGTGGGGGTACTGTGGGCCTGAGGCAGAAAGCCCTGTCTCAGATCATTCGCTCCCTTGCAGGGCTGGAGTCTCACAGGGACAGTGGTGCGTAGAAGATGGCTCTGGAGCCAGGCTCAGGAGCCATTGCAGTTCTAGCTAAAGAATGTTCCATCAGTAGGCCTATTTAGCTCGTCAGGGGTTCTGACCAGAGAGGGGGCCCCCTCTAATCCAGTTCTGTGGTGGCTAGCACCTTCACAAGCCATGGATCCGTTTTGTCAGTACCAACAGTGGGCTGCTGTCTGGGGAAGTCCCCGGGTGGGTGGCCCTCCTTTCCTCAGCCCTTGCTGACTGCCCAGGAAGAGGAGGACAAAGTGGTTCTTGAAGCTGTCTCGTGCACCAGGCACTTTGGCTGCTTTTCCATGTTACCTGTCCTGTCTCTGTGAAATGGGGATGCTTGTCCCCATTGAATGTTTACACAAGGATGGTGAGGCTCATAGAACTCACTTGCTCCCAGACTTCTGGCCCCGCCCCCCCCAAGACCTCCCTCAGTCTGGGGCCAGCAGAGCTCAGGGAAGTTTGCCCCCAGCTTGATCCCGAAGGCAGTGACCCAGGGGCCTGCTCTGACCCACGCAGAAGGCAGGTGAGTTCCAGAGTCACTTACAAAGAACAAAGAACCTGACATTTGACTTTTTTTTTTTTTTTTTTTGCCACACTGTGCGTCTTGTGGGACCTCAGTTCCCTGACCAGGAATTGAACCTGGGCCAGGGCAGTAAAAGCACTGGGTCCCAACCATGAGGCCACTAGGGACTCCTTGACACGTGCTTTTATTTATTTATTTATTTTTTTATTTGCAAGCTTTAAAATTTTTTTATTGAAGTATAGTTGATTTACAATAATATGTATTTCAAATGTACAACAGTGATTTATAATTTTAAAGGTTATACTCTAGTTATTATTATTATTATTTTTTCATTTATATTTATTAGTTGGAGGCTAATTACTTTACATCATTGCAGTAGTTTTTGTCATACATTGAAATGAATTAGCCATGGATTTACATGTATTCCCCATCCCGGTCCCCCCTCCCACCGCCCTCTCCACCCGATCCCTCTGGGTCTTCCCAGTGCACCAGGCCCGAGCACCTGTCTCATGCACCCAACCTGGGCTGGTGATCTGTTTCACCCTAGATAATATACATGTTTCGATGCTGTTCTCTTGAAACATCCCACCCTCGCCTTCTCCCAGAGTCCACAAGTCTGTTCTATACATCTGAGTCTCTTTTTCTGTTTTGCATATAGGGTTATCGTTACCATCTTTCTAAATTCCATATATATGTGTTAGTATACTGTAATGGTCTTTATCTTTCTGGCTTACTTCGCTCTGTGTAATGGGCTTCAGTTTCATCCATCTCATTAGAACTGATTCAAATGAATTCTTTTTAATGGCTGAGTAATATTCCATGGTGTATATGTACCACAGCTTCCTCATCCATTCGTCTGCTTATGGGCATCTAGGTTGCTTCCATGTCCTGGCTATTATAAACAGTGCTGCGATGAACATTGGGGTGCACGTGACACGTACTTTTAAGTGAAGCTCTCATGGACACTGGGGGCATGTCATTTGTGCAGCTGACCTTGAAAATGATTGGCAAAACAAGGGAGCATTGGGGAGTCATCCCAATGGGAGAGTCCTCGGGGTGGTGCGGGGCCACAGGCCCTGGACTCACCTAGCGCCAGCCATCTTTGCAGACGCCATCCGCCAGAGCAACCAGATGCTGCGCGAGCGCTGTGAGGAGCTGCAACGTTTCCAGGGCAACCAGAGGGAGGAGAAGGCCTTCCTCATGCAGAAGTTCCAGGAGGCCCGGGACTTGGTGGTGAGGCTGAGCCTGGAGAAACGTGAACTGCGCCAGCAGAGGGAGCAGGCCCTGCAGGAGGTGGAGTGTCTGAAGACGTGCCAGCAGGTAGGGACCTGGCCGCCTGCCTGGGGGTGCTGGGGTAGGGGGCTCCTGGAGTTGGGGAAAGCTGTTGTCCTCCCAGTTATGGCATTAGGGTGAGCCGCTGGCTGGGATATGGGTTGAAATCAGCAAAGCTAAAGGAATGGAGGGCAAGTCCAGGAGAGACGGGGCCATGCGTGACAGTATGCTCTCTGGGGACTTGTGGCCGGGGGGGGGGTCACCCCTGGAGGCCTGGGGCGCCTGCATGACTCACCTTAGGTACTTGATCTTTGGGCTCCGGAGATCAAGCTGGTATGTGTGGTCCAGGGTCTGGCCAGAAATCATGCTGCTGGCGGCGTAGACAGCCCGGCGGAGCCCTTGGGAAGTGTCTCAGGTTCCTGGGGCTACTGTAACAGAGTACCACAAACAGGGTGGTCAGAAGCCACAGAAACATGTAGTCTGCCAGTTGTGGAGGCCAGAAATACATGATCCAGGCATGGAAAGGGTCGGTTCCTTCTGAGGGCAGGATCTGGTCCAAGCCTGTCTCCTAGCCTCAGGTACTGGCTGGGAGGACTCAGTGTTCCATGGTTTGCAAACACACTGTCACGTGGCCTTCACCCTGGGTGTCTGGGCATCTTTCCTCATCTTCTTATGAAGACACAAGTGTCAAAGAGCAGCTCAACTGGGTAAAGGGGTAGGAACCGGTTTTGTTTGGTAACCACTGTCAGCAGGCAAAAGTGCCAGGCACCCTTCTGATTGGCACAGGGGTGCTGGTGATTTGAAGGGAGAGTGAGGTGGGGTCAGTGAGCAGGGTCTCGAGTGAAAACCCATGGTGGGTTGGTCAGGATCAATGTGGTGAGGTCAGCAATGTCCGTCCCTTGGGTTAGTTCTTGGATGTTATGATTCCATCCTACTCAGAGATGGGGAGACTCAGGCCCTGTCCTTCCTGAGGATTCCATTTCAAAGGAATGGCTCTCAGGTCCCAAGAAAGCCTCTCCTGAGTTGTTGGAGGTACACGGACATCTCAAAGGGACAGAGTAGGGGTTCACATGTGGGGAGCCTTCTTAGGAAAGACTCAGAGAAAGAGGGGGCTCAGTGAAATGTTGGTTGGAACAAACTGTACATTCTTTTGCCAGCCCTGTTTTCTCAGATGGGAACTGAAAAGGGAGCTGGATCAGCCTAGGGTCGTGACCTTAGGCTGCAAGAAATCACAGTAGAGCTTGCTCAAGTGTCCGAGTCTTTTGTAGTTCTCAGCAGTCACTGGATCAGAGGCCTGCCCTCCTCCAGTATGACCTCATCGTCACACCACCATATCTGCAGTGACCGTGTCTCCAGATCAGATGCCATTGACACGTACTGTGGGTTAGTTTAGTTTAGTTCGGTCACTCAGTTGTTTCCGACTCTTTGTGACCCCATGAGTCACAGAACACCAGGCCTCCCTGTCCATCACCAATTCCCAGAGTTTACTCAAAACTCATGTCCATTGAGTCAGTGATGCCATCCAACCATCTCATCCTCTGTCATCCCCTTCTCCTTCTGCCTTTAATCTTTCCCAGCATTAGGGTCTTTTCCAGTGAGTCAGCTCTTCGCATCAGGTGGCCAAAGTATTGGAGTTTCAGCTTCAACATCAGTCCTTGCAATGAACATTCAGGACTGATTTCCTTTAGGCTGGACTGGTTGGATCTCCTAGAAGTCCAAGGGACTCTCAAGAGTCTGCTCCAACATCATAGTTCAAAAGCATCAATTCTTCGGTGCTCAAGTTAGGCCTAACTGCAGGTTAGGCCATGGCCATACCACCTTGGGGCCACCAGTAAAGCCACTACCACCCTGAACTGGTGCAGAAGGGAGGAGGAGAAGGCTGCTGTTCTCAGAATGCCTGCAGAGCATCTGCCTGCCCTGTACTCAAGGGATGGGTTGCTGTCTTCACAGTAGCGATCAGAGCCACTGCCAAAGCCCTATTGGTAGCTGACAAGTCTGACAGTAGTGGGTATTGGAGAGGCCGTGGCTTCATGTTGCTGCTAGAAGCATCAGTTGGTGACACTGCTTTGAAAAACCATCTGGCATTTTTTCTTCAAGTTGAAAGTTCAGGTTACCCTCACCTCGTCAGTTGTACCCCAGGTGTATACATAAGAGAAACTCTTGCACATGGACAGCAGGTGATGGGGGTAAGATGCTAACCCTGGAGAAACCAGAATAAAACTCATATACCATAAAATTCCCCCCTTGAAAGTGTAGAATTCAATAGTTTTTGGTATAGTCTTAGAGTTGGCCAACCATCTCTTTCCTTTATGTAGTTCCAAAACCACAAGAAGAAACCCTAGGAAGAAACAGTGTCCCCATGAGTGGTCACTCCGCAGTCCCATCCCCCCAAGCCCCAGGTACCTGCACATCTCCTGTGAGTGGAATCCTGCAATGTGTGGCTCTTGTGTCTGGCTACTTTCACTCAGCATCATGTTTTTGAGGTTCATCCATGCTGTAGTTTGTCCAAGTACCTCATTTCACTTTATGGCTGGATGATATTCTAGTATAGAGAGAGACTACGTATTTTTTTATTCAGTCTTCATTTGATGGACATGTGGGTCGTTTCCATTCTGACTGTTAGGAGTAATGCTGCTATGAACATTCCTGTGCGGACATGAGTTTTCATTTCTTTCAGGTAGGTACCTAGGATTTCACCCATTTTTTAGAACCAAATTCCAGACACCGTGTGATTTCTTCCATAAAAAGTTCCATGTGTATCTCTAAGAAATGACTTTGAAAGAAACATAACCACAACAGCACTGTCACACGTAAAATAGTACCATTACCTGCTGCTGCTGCTGCTAACTCACTTCAGTTGTGTCCGACTCTGTGAGACCCCATAGACGGCAGCCCACCAGGCTCCCCTGTCCCTGGGATTCTCCAGGCAAGAACACTGGAGTGGGTTGCCATTTCCTTCTCCAGTGTATGAGAGTGAAAAGTGAAAGTGAAGTCACTCAGTCATGTCCCGACTCTTAGCGACCTCATGGACTGCAGCCTACCAGGCTCCTCTGTCCATGGGATTTTCCAGGCAAGAGTACTGGAGTGGGGTGCCATTGCCTTCTCCGACCTGCTAAGTGTCATCAAATAGATTCTAAGATACATCTTGATAGGATTTCCTGATGGATCCGACATGAGCAGTGAGAGATAGATGGGACTCAAGAAGGACTTGAAGGTTTTGTCCTGCCAACTAGATCATGGGTTAGCCATCTACTGGTAACAAGGAAGGCCATGAGTGGAACTGGCCTCTGGGGATGATCAGGACTGTAGTTTTACCGAGGTTAGTTTTGAGAGGATGACTAGATATCCAAGTGGAGATATTCATCTAACAGGACAGGTGGTGTGGGCTATTTGCACTCTTAGGTGGGGAAGGCCTCACTAAGTTGCCATCGAGTAAGCCTGGAAGACAGTGAGGACATGAGCCATATGGATATCTGGGGAAAGACTGTTTTAGAGGAGAGGAAAGTATGTGCAAAGGTCCTGAGGCAGGAGCATACCTGTAATGTTCAGGGAAGACTAAAGAGGCAAGCATAGCTGGGGCAGAATGGAAAGGGGCTGAGGAGGTAGTCATGGTGGGGACTAGTCATGTAGGATTAGTAAGCCAGTGGAAGGATTCAGGCTTTGATCCTGAGTGTGACAGGAACCGGGGGAAGGAGCTGTGCTATGTGGATTCCTCTGGAGTGTGGGGGATATTATGGATTGTTATGTTTCCCCCAAAGAAATGTCCATATCCTAACCCCTAGTACCTCAGAATGTGACCTTAGTTAAACATGAGGTCTTTGCAGATATAACCAAGTTAAGGTGAGGTCACAGTAGCTGAGGATGGGTTTAAATCCAATGACTGGTGTCCTTGGAAGAGAAACAGACATACAGGGAAGATGGTCACATGATGATGGAGGCAGAGATGGAGTGATGCAGCTACAGCTGATGAATACCAAGGACCGCTGGCCACCCCCAGAAGCCAAGGCAGTGGCCTGGAGCTGATCCTCCCCCAAAGCCCTCAGAACGATCCAGCACTGCTGACAGCTTGCTCTTGGGCTCCTGGCCTCTAGAAAGCAATCTGTTCTGTTATCTTAACCGCCTGCCAAATTTGTGGTCCTTTTGGGCAGCCTTGGGGAACTCCTACAGACACAGGGGTGGAACTGGGAGCCTGGGCAAGCTTATTGCAGCTGCCCAGCAAGGGGCTCTCAGCAGGCTGGGCCCAGTGGTGGGCTGCAGTGTGGGCGTTAATCCATAGGGTGTGCCCATGGGCTTCAAGGTGGAGAAGTTAGACAGGTAGTCAGATAGCTAAGTTGGGTTGCAAGAGACAAGTCGGTCCTGGAGGTGGGACTGTGGAAACTCTCAGCTTGTGGAGGGTACTGAAGGCCTTAAGACAGAGCAGGTCATCCTCACATGCATGTACATGGAGAGGGTCATGGGCTTGAGACTGCCCTTGAGAAGGAATGGTGGATGGGGCTGGGTGCACGTGTGCGAGTGCATCAGTGCGCATGTGCAGGCCCCCAGGCCTGGCTGGGAGGTCTGTGTGGTGGTTGGTACCGAGGGGCGGGGAAAGCCGAGGACTGGGGCTTGATCCAGGGCTTGAGCAGGCCTCCGTCTCAGGGGACTGTAGTCTGGACAGCTTGATGAGGGGAGCTAGGCAAAGGGGAGTTGGGCCAACTCTTGCATCTTGTTTCTTGTACAAGTCTTCTGGAAATGGTGTCAGTCCACATCACCTTCCAGTGGCCTGGGGCCCGTGGAGTGGAGTGTGTATCTTTGTCACTCTGTTTGAGTCTTGCCTTCCCCAGCACTGAATCTCAGAGGTGGAAAGGCTCCCACGTCCCTGCCTCTCCTTTCCCCCCATTTGCGGGGATGAGGAAAGCCTGGGACGGGGGGCTCACAGGACGGGATCTCTTTCCACCGCTTCATTTGCCTGGATGAGGGGGAGATGCTTCCAGAGGTGGAGGTAAGGTGAGGGGGGCTGCTGAGGGCAGCCCTCAGGAGGCCTGTCATCATGTTTCCAGGCTTCCCCGGGGACTTGATGGTGCCAGGAGCAAGCAGCTGGCAAGAAACCACTGCTGATGGAAAGAGGCTCTTTTTTTTTTCATGCAGCAGATGGCTGAGGACAAGGCCTCAGTGAAAGCCCAGGTGACATCCTTGCTGGGGGAGCTGCAGGAGAGCCAGAGTCGCTTGGAGGCTGCCACTAAGGAGCGCCAGGCTTTGGAGAGCAGGTGAGGTGGCAGGGAGGGTGATCCCAGTCCAAGGCCACTGCCAGGGACAATAGGACCCTTTGGGAGCCTCTGGAGATGTCCTCTGTGACAGGACACACACTCTCTGATCTTCTGCTGGAGTTTGGCTTCTTTACTGAGTGGGTGTTTCTGGAGTGGCATGGAAGGGCAAGCCTATGGGCTGCAGGGAAGCCCTCCCAGCTGAGGTTGATGACAAGGAATGGGCATACACCAGGACCCCCAAGGGCAGAAGACACGGGTCAGGGGTGAAGACCCCCACGCCTTTGGTTCCCTGTCTCCCTCCCTTGAGGGGGCCCCCAGCACGGTTACTTCACCGGCAGCAACAGAGGTCCCCCTGGAGACCTAGGGAGCTCACTCGAGACTCAGCACCGTGAGTATTATTGATGGTTGATGGCTGTCATTCACGTGCCAAACTTCCCGACTCCCAGAGGAAAGCAGGTGCGCCCCATAAACCACCCTGTGGTGCCAACAGCTGAGGCACAGAGACCACCCTTATCAGTAGGGAAAGTGTCTCATCGATGTCAAGGACTTGCACCAGCCTACTGCCCAGGCACCACCCCCGGGCCAGCCTTGCACACCAGCCCCTTTGTAGTTAGCATCCTTAGGTCCTCTGGTTGGTCTCTTCTGCAGAGGGAGGTTCCTGCAAGTGAGGTTATTGGGTCAAGGGGCATGGATGTTTCTGTGGTTCTCACGCTGCCCCACTGCAGGTGCCCCAGACTGATGGGTTTGGGCTACAGGGTGGCCCCAGCTCTCGCAGCACGAGAGGTGATCAGGGTGCCCCAGGCAGTGTCTGGGATGCCTTCCTGAAGGAGGCTGGGGGGAGCAGGCAGGAGGTAAGCACGTGTGAGTTTGCTGCCCTTGAGGAAAGAGACGGTGAGCGGGGAGGCCACTCAAGGCTGAGCCTGCTGGCTCTGGAATTGTTGCATACTGCCATCTTCCCAGACATGCCTCTGTCACTCCATGTTGCGAAAAGGCACATGTAATTTTTAGGACACTCTGGTATCTTCTCTGCCTATCTTTTTTTTCTTTGCACCTAAAAGAAGCTGCTGGAGTTGGGACGCTGTCAGTGCAGTTTTGTAACTGCTTTTGGTCCTCTAACGACCCTGGAGGGCTGTTATTCCAGCAATTATAGGCTCTTGGGTGCCCTGCTTTCCTATCACTCCACCTCTACTCCTACCCCCTTGGCTGAGCACATACGTGCTGAGCTAGACAGCTCAGGGCAGGAGGCCTCTCTCATTGGGCCCCTGGCAGGTGGCAGTCCCATCCGATGATGGCAGTGACAGGGCTGGGTTTTGTCAGCTCACAGACGGAATCTGCATCTGATAGACTGGCCCAGGCTTGGAGAGATGCTGGGACCAGAGCTGATCTCCAGCAGCGCCCCACCATCACCCTGCAGTGGGGCTGAGGCAGCCTCAGTCCAGCAGGTGGCCTGGCCGAAGCCTGGACCCAGAGTGCAGGGCGCTGTGTGGACATAGGAGACCCGGGTCGGTGGGGGGTGCTGGGCCATCAGTGCTGTGTCCCCGCAGGCAGGAAGTTGGAGGCTCTTTGGGCAGGTGTGGAGCCTGCATGGTTTCTGGAACAGTGCCCCTTTCCTGCTCCCCCCCATTTGTTACTTCTCCCTCCCCACCTTCTAGAAATTCTATCAAGGCTGGCTGTCTCTGCTTCTTTCCTCGCAGTCCCTCCCGACCCGTCCACTAGACGGCCCTGGCCAGCACACCCAGCACCCGCCTGTTGTAACCTCATGGGCAGTTCCTGGGGCGCGCCTTTCCCCTGGGACCACCTTCACCCTCAGAACAGCCTTCCCGGATGGCTGTCCCCAGCCCAAATCCACTCTGAGCCAGGCACCTCGCAGTCATCCCTGTCTCCCCGGCCAGCGCACATCCCAGTGTCACCCGGAGTCCTCCCCCTTCATCGCCCTGTGCCAGGACTGGTCCCCTGCCCTGGTGTCTGTCTCAGCACCATGTGGTGGGGGTGCTGGGCTGGCCGGTAGCCCCCTGCCCCGGGCCTGCCTGTGACCTGCGCTTCTTTGCAGGGCACGGGTGGCCAGCGAGCAGGCCCGGCAGCTGGAGAGTGAGCGGGAGGCCCTGCAACAGAGGCACAGTGTGCAGGTGGACCAGCTGCGTCTGCAGAACCAGAACATGGAGGCTGCCCTGCGCATGGAGCGCCAGGCCGCCTCGGAGGAGAAGTAAGTGGGCCGCGGTGGGGGGGAGCCCAACGCTGTCCCTGACCGTCGTCACACCCCAGAGAGGCGTCCTGGAGAGGGTGACATCCTTCACTCTCCCGTCCACATTCTGATTCCACCCTCTGGCCCACATGTTCACAGTGTCTTGTTGAAGATCCTGCTTTATCTTTGTTGGGGTGTCTTTTGAGTCTTCTTTCATCTTAAACCGTCCTGCTTTTCTGGATTTTCATGAAGTTGACTTTTTTGAAGGGGACAGGATATCTGTCTTTAGTTTTATTTTTTGCACATAAAAATACGTATTCTTCTGAAAAAGAACTATGTCTTCCAGAATAAATACTTCGAGACTGGCGTTGTATTACATTTTTATAAATTTCATTCATTATTGTCTCTGGTTCACTAAAAACTGCTGGACTCTCCTGTCTGCTGCTGCTGCGGTCAGTCTGTTGTGACAGGTTTTTTACTGTTTTTCTTTCTTTTTTGTTGTGATAATGTTTTGATTGAACTTACTTAGTTTTTGTTGTGATATGTTTTGATTGAAGTACATGAAGAAAAGCCAACCTCACAGAGATGTGTAGTTGGACCAAAGCTCTGCTTTGTGATACACATTGCTTTCTATACTTTTTTGAAAACGTGTGATTTAAGGAAAAGGATATGAACTAGGTAGCAAAGCTTGCCTCGGAGCTGACAGCCTGCAAGACCCAGAGGCACCCCAAAAGCCTCATTCTGGCCTTTGGCCTTGAGGAGAAGGAAGGGGGTGGAATTGAACTCTGTGGCTGGATCAGGACAACGTGGGTTCTTTTCCTCAGGCGGAAGCTGGCCCAGCTACAGGTGGCCTATCACCAGCTCTTCCAAGAGTATGACAACCACATCAAGAGCAGCATGGTGAGCAGTGAGCGGAACCGAGTGAGTACAGGAGAGGTGTCCTCCGGGTGTTGGGGACTGACCTGCCCCTGTCTCCTCTCCCTGCAGTCTGGGAGCTGATCCCCTCCCCCCATATCCGGGATATTGGAAGTCAAGGCCCTACCTTAACAGACTCACAGAGCTAGCTTTGGAGAGGGATATTCGATTCATCCTAGAGCTTGGTCAGGGCCCTGGAGTGACAGGTCAGACCAGATTGGGGGGAGGTGGAGATGCTTGGACTGTGTTGTTTGCTGCCCATGGTGGACTGGGGGCGGGGCTCCAGATGCTCTGCTCTGAGCAGGATCACGCTTGTCTCCGTGGCTGCTTCCACCTGCCAGGCGTCCATTGGGAATGTTTCCGTACCAGTATTGAAGGTATCTGGGAGCCCTGTGCCTCGTTGGTCATCATCAGACCTATCCTGAGTGTAGTTTCTAGTGATCACATTTCAAGGATATAGTTAAAACAGAAACATACCTGGAAGAGACTTATAAGGGTAAAGCCTGAAACTGGGTCACATGATGAAGAGTTAGTTACAAAACCGTGGCCCTTTGACCTCAAGAGGGAAGGCTGGGTGTTGTGTGTGTGTGTGTGTGTGTGTGTGCATCTGTGTGTGTGTGAGTGTGTCTCTGTGGGTGGGGTGGAGGCCCGGGCAGGAAAGGGGGTTGTGGGGCATCTGTGAGGTGGCGTCGCAGGAGGACCTATGAGACTTGGCTTAGCAGGCACATAGTGGAGCACTAGGGCATGAGACTGGTCCGCGTGGAGTGGGTGGCCCCTGTCCCTTGGAGGGTTGGAGGAGGACTGTACAGCTCAAGATGGAACGTCAGCCTGGGGGAGGTTGTGTCAGGTGACCCCAGCGGTTCTTTCTGGCCTCCTCTGCCTTTCCCATGCCTTGCACAGCACCCTGTCTTTGGTTCCTCTTGGTCCTCCTCCCCAGGAGCAGCAGCCGGCCTGGGGATGGCCCGGCCTCCACGGCTGGGCCGGATGAGGCTCCGTCAGCTCCCTGTCCCCCACATCTAGGGACTGCAGCTGGAAGATCTCAAGCAGCAGCTCCAGCAGGCCGAGGAGGCCCTGGTAGCCAAACAGGAAGTGATCGACAAGCTGAAGGAGGAGGCGGAACAGCACAAGATCGTGATGGAGACTGTCCCAGTGCTAAAAGCCCAGGTGAGGGCTTACCCCTGTGGCTGGCCTGGGGGGGCGCAGAGTAGGACACGAGGGCTAGGACTTGGTGCGTCTTGGGCGTCATTTGGCAGTGACCTCTTAGAAAGCCTCTGAACCCTTCAAGACGTTCCTTGAACTCACAACGCCCTGGTGGGGACCGTCTTTGTGCTGAGGGGCTCTGTTGTCCCCTGTCTGTTCCCCGGGCCTGGCACAGAGTGGCCGATGGACAGCACACGCCGCCCCTCTCTTGGTTTTGCCAGGCGGATATCTACAAGGCGGACTTCCAGGCCGAGAGGCAGGCCCGGGAGAAGCTGGCTGAGAAGAAGGAATTCCTACAAGAACAGCTGGAGCAGCTGCAGAGGGAATACAGCAGGCTGAAGACCAGCTGTCAGGAGTCAGCCAGGTGGGGGTCGGAGCACAGGCCCCACAGGCAGTGGCGCTGGGTCCTGGGCCCATTGGGTCAAGGGGAGGTGGCCTCCCCCTCCCTGCCTTGCATCCCATCCTTCCCCCAGCCTCGTGCATGCTGGAGACGTGACCCAGATGTGTTGATTGGATGCTTTCTTTTCTTTTCTCAAAGGATTGAAGACATGAGGAAACGGCACGTTGAGGTCTCCCAGCCCCCCTTAGCCCCTGCCCCAGGTGAGCGAGCAGCAGGGAGGAGGCATGATGGATCCCAATACTATGGGGGAAGAGGGAACTGGAAGTGGCCCCCTTCTCCCCATCAGTACACCCGTACCCCAGGGGCAGGCCGAAAGGGGAGATGCTAGCCTTGGTGACTCGGGTGATCATAGCCCAGGTGTTGGTCCTCGCCTTGCCCCACAGTTGGTGCAGGGGGACACACACACAAAGCCCACCCCAACTGGTGCCTGATCTCTTTCCCCAGCTCATCACTCCTTTCACCTGGCCCTGCCCAGCCAGAGGAGAAGCCCCCCTGAGGAGCCGCCCAACTTCTGCTGCCCCAAGTGTCAGTATCAGGCTCCTGACATGGACACCCTGCAGATACACGTCATGGAGTGCATCGAGTAGGGCTGCAGGCTGCCAGGCAGCCCAGGACTGTGCTCTCTGCTGCTTTCCTCTCCTGTCTGCCTGGGCCTGAACTAGGGGCAGCTGACACAGAGTGGGCGCCCTCTCTGAGCCCCAAGACCTAGCCACAGGGCCCCATGCTTCTACACCCTCATCCACAGGTTCACCTCTCTTAGGGCAACACGGAGCCCCAGCATGGCCCACCACTGTGCCCTTTTGATTCGTTCTGCCTGCCTGAGCTGCTTGGCTCTGGGGTTCACACTTTTTCCACCTTTGCTGGGAAGGTCACAAGCCACAGCTGGAGCTCCTGGACACCGGCTTCCCAGGCTGAGGTGGGCAGAGCCTTCCTCCCAGCCACCTGGCACAGTGCCCGGGGCGCAGGTCTTGTAAGCTGGGTGCTGTTCCCTTGGCAGCTGCAGCACATGGGACTGACACTGTCTGCTTCTAATGGACGTCGGGGTCGCCGTGGTACAAAATCCTTGTGCATCTCTCATACGTACCTTGGGTTGGATCCTTCGAAGCAGCACCATTGAGTATCCACTGGGGCTAGACAGCGGTGGGGCCCCTACCCTGGTGTGCCTTCCTGCTCTCCCCACAGCTCTGCCATGAATGATGGGTGTCCATGTGCCCCCCAACCAGGTGAGCTCCTCTCTGTTAAGAGTGAGCTTGACTTATCTCTTCAGAGCTTGAAGGGTCCTTTTCAGTTCTGGTATAAATGGCCTGCTTGGATTTTTTTACATATTTTTCTATTCGGCTGTTAGTCTTTTATTCCTTGACTTAAAGAGCTCTTTGGTCATTAGGGGGATCGACTCTTTTCATGTGTGATGTAACGCGGTTATCTCTTCCTCCTAACTTGGGACTGGTGTGTTTGCACTGGAACCTGTTCTCTTGTCGTTTCGTTTATCCTGCACAGCGTTGTCACCACCTCTTGGTCTGAGGAGGTATGCATGTCACAGGTACACTTGCCCCGTGCTGCCTGACGCTGCAGTTCACCCTGGTCCTCCCCAGGAGCGCTGCCACCAAAGTCTGATGCTGTTCCCTGTGCCAGCCCCAGATGCCCCAGCCTGGCCAACAGAAGCCACTTCACCATTTCTGGCAGAGTACCAACACCAGAGAACTCTTCCTTATAGTTTTGCAAGAATCTGGATATTTCCGAGGATGTCAATGCTGTGGGCATCAACCCTGTAATTGTGGTTTCCTTCTCAGCGCCCAGCATCCCTCTGTGCCCCGGGGGCTGCCTGGTTGGATACGGGATGGCACAGACTCCCGTCCCTGGGTTTTGTGTGGGACTCCCTGCTATCTGGCAGTGCCAGGGCAGACTAGGATTGGGATATCAGTCTGGCTGGATGATGGCCCAGCCAGCATCCTGTTCTGAAAATAAGCCTGGGCTGGGGGCTTTCTTGTCATCTGCAGGGGTAGACTGATCTACTTCCTGAAGCCCAAGTGTTCAGTTGCAAATGGGCCTCAGGAACATGTTAAAGGCACAGATAGGTTCTCTGCTCATGAATGCTCTTTCAAACCGTATCCTGCAATTTTTCTACAAGAGCACTTGCCATTTCGGGGGAATGTATTAGTTTCCTGTTGTTGCTGGAGCAGGTGACTACAAACTTGGTGGCTTAAACCAGCTAGAATTCATTCTTTCCTACTTCTGGAGGCCTAACTCTGAAATCCAGGTGTGGGCAGGCTTTGTTCCTTCTAGAGGCCTCTTTTCCAGCTCCCAGTGGTCTTCCTCAGTGTTCCTTGGTAGGTGGACGTGTCTCTCCAGCGTCTGACTCTGTCTCTACGTGGTCTCCACTTCTGTCTGCATGTCTTTCTTCTCTTTCAAGGACACTTAACTGGATTTGGAGCCTCCCCCACCCTGAGTCATCCAGGATGACTTGTCTCCAGATGCTTGCTTTCATCACATCCACAAAGACCCTTTTCCCAAGTAAGATCACAGTCACACGTTCTGAGGGTCAGGACGTGTGCATCTGTGTTGGCCACCGTTCAGCCCAGCACAGGGTCATCTTCTGGAGCCTACAGATGAGGACAGATGTGTTCGAAGGCAGGCATCTCTGGGATTGGCAGATCTGTCAGAGGGCTTGTTTCCTGGGGTGATGGTGACCGCTTCGCTCTGCAGAGGCAGGTGACCCTGAGGTGAGGAAAAACAGAGTTGGGAGTAGGTCCTTGCAGGCTCGGGGACTGTTGAGCTTCAGACCCTGTCATCTCCAGCTGGACCCTGCTGCTGGGGCTGATGCACGCAGCTAGGAAAAAGAAAGAGGATGGCTCTGTTGGACCACTTGCATCCTGGATGGTGGCTCCTGGCTGGGTAGGGATTGGTTTCGTGCTTCTAAGATGATGACAGTTGCACCAGAGTGCTTCTCTGACCAGCCTCCTCTGAAAGGGGCTGAAAGAAGGGGAGACCCCAGAGTGGTGTGAGGTGGACATTCTCTGCCCCCTCAACCCAGGAGTGTTGCTACGGCTCGGGCAGACGCCCTCACCTAGGCAGCACAGCGGCTGTAGTGGGAGCTTCACACACGTTCCACCTGTGCCCCAAAGCAGCTGCTTTGGGGCTGGCGGGGACCGGGCACCGGCTGGGACCCTCTATTGTCTGGAACCTTCTCTTCCTGCAGGCTGGGCACCCCTCACACCCGGCCTCCTGCCTCCTGTGGGGCTGACGGGATGTGAGAGACTGAGGGTTTTCAACCAGCCTTCTGAAACAAGGGGCTGGATTCCTCCCGTGAGGGAAGCAGCCTGCCTGCAGGGTCAGCTGTGGCCCCTGGACCCTCACGACTGTGGGTTTGGGTGGTGGAGATGGACAGATAGGACCTCCATGTGGGCATTGCCCATTGCTTCCACACACCCTGCTCCATTACCTGGTTAAGAAAATGCATGTTAAGAGCAATCAAATAAGCACAATACAAAAGCATTTCTTCCTCGTGAATGACTAGAACAACACAGACTCAAACTAGACAAAAAGTGATTTCAAAATGGCAACAAATGCTGACTTCTTGTGCCCTGTTGACAAGGCGTGGGGACCCATTGCCATGGGGCTGGTCGGGCGGGATGGACAAGCACATAGGGAGTGTCCCAGCCTCCTTAACCTGGCGACTTCGGCACTGTCAGGGTGCTGGCTGCAGCAGCATCTGTAGCCACCAAAGGCTGTGGAGTAGGAGGCAGCACTTCTGGAGTGGTGGATACCTCATCACCTGGAACCCACTCTGGATCACGTGGGTGTGAAAAAGCCAGCAGATGCAGTGATGTATGAAGTGTGACCCCAATAAAAGAGGGAGAGCTGTTGTGCGCGCCCTGCTACCATTTGGATAGCTGTGGTGGTAGGATTACTAGTGATTAAGTTTGCCTTACATGTTTATGTATTTTCCAGATGCCCCTCATTTGTATGTATTACTTTGATAGAGAATGTATGTTCCTGTGAACTTGGTCCGGGGTGGGTGCAGCCAAGGGGTTTGCCTGCGAGTGGCTGGCAGCAGATGGTACGAGGGCAGACTCCTTGCTTCCAAGCTGTGTGTGCACACTTGGGGGAGTTGTGCTGCAAACAACAGAAACGTATTGTCTCCCAGTCGTGGAGGCCGGAAGTCCATGATCCAGGCCTGGGCATGGTCAGTTTCTCCTGATGGCAGTGAGGGAGGGTGTGTTCCAGGCCTCTCTCCTGGGATGGGAGAGGCTGTCTGCGCCCTGTGTCTTCATGTCGTCTTCCCTCTGTGCGTGTCTGAGTCTCTTAAGTGTCCACTTTTATAAGGACACAGTCCCATTGGATTAGGGCCACCCTCGTGACCTCCCTTTAACTCAATCACCCCTGAGAAGACCTAGTCTCCACATGCGGCGGCATCCTCAGGGCCAGCGGGTGAGGACTGCCCGGTGCCTTGGAGGGAACACATTTCCACCCATAATGTGGGATGCCTAGCTGTCTTTTTTTTCAAAAACGTCTTACTTCTTTCTTTTCGGCTGTGCTGGGTCTTTGTTGTTCCGAGGGCTTTTTCTAGTTGCTGTGTGCCGGCTTCTCCTTGCAGTGTCTTCTCTTGTTGCAGAGCTTGGGCTGTAGGTGCGCAGGCTCAGTATTTGCTCATTGGCATGTGGGGTCTTCCCGGCCCAGGGCTCCGCACACTGGCAGGCGGATTCTCACCCACCGGACCACCAGAGAAGTCCCTAGCTCTATTTGATAGGAGGCCGAAGACAGCATTTAGGTGACAGCATATAGGAGTCTGCTGTTAGAAAATAGCTGCTGCTCCACCTCCGTGGTGAATTGGAGGCCGCCTGTGGTCCCCTACCCACTGATGGGTCAGAAAGGGGTCAGGGCTGAGTGGCTTCCTTGGCCGCAAAAGGACATCATTGGAAGGGCCAGGCCTGACATGTTCCTCGGTGGGCTTTGCTGAGGCACAGAGAGCAGCAGTGGCTCCTTGGAGAGAAGCTGGAGCCCGGCAGTGTGTTCCCTAGGCCCGTCTGCGGTGTGAGGCTTGCATTGGTGACTACCTTTCTGAGTCTCAGGCTCATCCATAAAATGAGACCATCCAAGGTTTGACTTCCATTTCAGTCGCTGCTGAGAGCAGACTGTTGTTTGCATGCTGGATGGAGAATCAGAGGAAAGGAAATAGGACTGCAGCAGCCGTGTTTTGCAGGCGGGTGGTGTGCAGTGTGGCTGCTTCATGGTTTCTGCAACCTCTGCCCTGACGTAGCCGAGTGTCTCCTTCCTTCGTGGTGGTGAAGCTATGGCAAGGGGGCCGCTTGAACAGCCTTGGCCAGGGCAGAGCTAGAACTGGAGTCAAGATAGAAACCACAAGACTCCAAGGCAGACATCTCAACCTAGGGTCAAACTGCACACTACACTGTGTGTGTGGGGGCGGCCCCCCAAATCCAAGTGGGTACAATTTGGAGCACATTGCTACTGCATCCATGGGGTGGGCTAGGTGGCCCTGCTGCAGCCGATGGGACTCAGTTGCAGTCCATCTGCATTTGTTTTGCTTGTGGCGAACCATCATGAGCCTTCGTTGCATTTCTTCATTTCTTTGCAAAGGCTTCTTTAGCCCCATCGAGGTTACCATTGTGTGGGTACTCAGAAATGGGATGAGAAAATGTGCTGACCACACACTGACCTGTGCTGTGACCTTCCCTGCTGACTCTGAGAGCAGTTAAGTGCAATCAACTGAACATAGGGTGAGAAGCAAAAGTGATTTCCTAAGAGTCTAGTGGTGGTGTGGGGCTGCCACAAGCATCATAAACAGTGCTCTATGGCAGAGGTGCCATGTTCTCAGTTGCATTAACTGCTCTGCTAACCACAGGGGTGGCCACCCTTGGCTTTTGTGCTTGTGTTACCCAGTCATTGGTGAGCACTGACTTCCTAACAGTTGCACTTCTCTGAGCACATCCCCAGGGACTGCATTGGGTGCTCACAACAAAACACAGATACACACACACACACACACACACATACTGACTGCTAACAGCTCGTTAATTCCTACAACTTCAAAGATAATGTGACTCACTCTTTAAACCTAAAAGCATGTAATTCCAAGGTGCAAATTATGTTTTTAAAAGCTGATTGTTAAAAGTTTATTTTCAAAGGTGTTCCCCAAACACTTCATGGTGCAGGTGTTTTTTTTTTTTTGTAGTAAAATACACATAAGATTTACCATTTTAACCATTTTAAGTGCACAGTTCAGTGGCAAGAAGCATATTCACATGGTTGGGCAACCACCCCACCATCCATTCCCAGAACTTTTTCATCTTCCCTAATGGAAACCTGG